GATCTAACGTTTCCTATTGACTGCTTGTAACAGAGGGGCTTCTCTGGGCCCACACTGAGTTAATGCTATATTTAATGGAGAATAAGTAGATGCCCATGAGTGGGGGTCACAAAAGGTCACAGTTCATGAAACTAAAATTGAATGGAGGTATTGTCTTTTATGGCACTTAAAAGTAAACATGAATTTCCCGGACTAAAACAGGCGCTTTTGAAGTCTGGTTGTCATGGTTTTTGGCTTGGTGACTGTGGTGTGTGCTGGCAGTGTCAGATCTGGCCTTCACAGCAAATGCCACAGCAGCTGCGCTTACACATAGCTTTCTCAGACAAATTAACCCATTCGTTGTAACCCATGATTACAATAACCCATGATTCGTTGACGTTGATAAACTTCACCAAATACAAGGCAATTCTTAAAGTAATATCCTGGAAAAATATACAAATGTCTTTAAGTGAAAAGCAACACATTAAAATGATGCAAAATGGGACTCCCTGGTTATTGTCTTAAATTATTCAAATAAATTGAATAAAATTTAAATATTACATTAAAAAATATTTAAACAACACAAATTATTTTATATCAAATAATGTAATAGTAATTATTAGACATATTAATAATAAATTAATTAGTAATATAATATGCAATATACAATTGATTGAAATATATATTATTATATTGTCATTTTATAATCTAATTATAATAATCTATTATTGTTCTTGTGTCTATAGCCCATGCACAAAATATTTTATTAATAAAATAAAAATAGAAAAATATTGTATTTAAAGTACAATTAATATATAGAGAGAGAGGATATATTTTACTTCAATGAGCTCACTATTTCTGCCTTAAAGGAGTAGTTCACTTTTTTTTAAAATCTCAAAAATCTGAAAATCTCACCCCCATGTCATCCATGTCTTTCTTTCTTCAGTCGAAACGAAATTAAGGTTTTTGATGAAAACATTCCAGGATTTTTCTCCATATAATGCACTTTACTGGTAACCAAACGGTTCAAGGTCCAAAAGACAGTTTCAGTGTAAACTGTTCAAAGGGCTTTAAACGATTCCAGACGATGAATAAGGGTCTTATCAAGCGAAATGAACGCTCATTAAAAAAAAAAAAAAAAGTTTAAGTGTTATAAGCTCAAATGGTCACCTTGCTCTGTTCTGTTACAGTATGCGCGTTCTTGACTTTCCTGTTCGAACTCGTTCATCAAAATGAACGAATCTTTTTTCATGTCATTTGGTTCATTCAATGAACGAAATGAACGAACTGACTTGGGAAAAGATTAGTTAATTTTGATGAACGAGTTCAAACAGGAGAGTCACGAATGCACATCACAGAACAGAGCAAGGCGACCATTTGAGCTTATAAAACTTAAACTTTGTTATTTATTTATTAAATGAGCCATCGTTTCACTTGATAAGACCCTTATTGATCATCTGGAATCGTTTAAAGCCCTTTGAACAGTTTGCAGTTTTCACTGAAACTGTCTTTTGGACCTTGAACCATTTGGTTACCAGTAAACAGTGTTGGGAGTAACGCATTACAAAAGTAATACATTACAGTAACATATTACTTTTTGCTGTAACGCAGTAGTGTAAGGCATTACTAATCAATTTACAGTAATATTTTACTCGTTACATGTTCAGTGAGGCTTGTATTACAGTTGTATTATAGTGTATTGTCTGCTTTTACTTCTTAAAGGCAACAGATATGTGAAAGTTTTAAAGTCTTTTAGTGCCAGTTCAGAGCGGTCGCGTCTGTAACATTGTTTTTTCCTCATAAATGCGAACACGAAAACTAAAATAAAATGAATATTTTAAGTTCTATGGAGACTGGAGAGCCAACCCTTCCTCATCCGATTTGCGCAGTGTAATTAACAGAATTACAAAAAAAATATTTTGCCTCCTATTTTTTTGTCACGCATGAATGTGTGTCTTTTCCCTAATACTAAAAATAAAACAGACTGATATTTGTCTAATGTCTGGAGTCCTTTACGGAAGTAGCCTATATATGTTTCAATACATGTATTTTCTGAGAATTTTTATTTCAAGTTTTGACTGCAAATGTCATGTCCATAATGCTGGACCCAATTTTAAATAATTTATCCTCAACTAGTTTTGTGGTGTAGGTCTACGTATTTTATAATCAGTGTTGTGCAAGTTACTTCCAAACTGTAATACATTAGGTATTACTTGTTACTGTTATTTAAAAGTAATTCATTACCTTACAATATTACTGTCTCAGAATTGTAATGCGTTACATTACTCATGTATTACTTTTGAGTTACTTTCACCTTAACTTATAAGTAGAACTTAACTTTGGGGCTGTAACGATATGCAATATGAAACCGAAATCGCGATTCGCCACACGACTCAGATCCACGAACCTACAGAATCGCGACACACCTCTTCCAACTCCAAGCGTTATTCTCCTTACCGTCCAGATCCAATGCTGCCTTATCTTTAAATTAGGCTATTAGTATTATTTGAAGTTAACATTATAAAATACGTAGACCTACACCACAAAACTAGTTGAGGATAAATTATTTAAAATTGGGTCCAGCATTATGGACATGACATTTGCAGTCAAAACTTGAAATAAAAATTCTCAGAAAATACATGTATTGAAACATATATAGGCTACTTCCTTAAAGGACTCCAGACATTAGACAAATATCAGTCTGTTTTATTTTTAGTATTAGGGAAAAGACACACATTCATGCGTGACAAAAAAATAGGAGGCAAAATATTTTTTTTGTAATTCTGTTAATTACACTGCGCAAATCGGATGAGGAAGGGTTGGCTCTCCAGTCTCCATAGAACTTAAAATATTCATTTTATTTTAGTTTTCGTGTTCGCATTTATGAGGAAAAAACAATGTTACAGACGCGACCGCTCTGAACTGGCACTAAAAGACTTTAAAACTTTCACATATCTGTTGCCTTTAAGAAGTAAAAGCAGACAATACACTATAATACAACTGTAATACAAGCCTCACTGAACATGTAACGAGTAAAATATTACTGAAAATTGATTAGTGCCTTACACTACTGCGTTACAGCAAAAAGTAATAAGTTACTGTAATGTATTACTTTTGTAATGCGTTACTCCCAACACTGTTTATAATGTTAACTTCAAATAATACTAATAGCCTAATTTAAAGATAAGGCAGCATTGGATCTGGACGGTAAGGAGCAGTGTTGGGAGTAACGCATTACAAAAGTAATACATTACAGTAACATATTACTTTTTGCTGTAACGCAGTAGTGTAAGGCATTACTAATCAATTTTCAGTAATATTTTACTCGTTACATGTTCAGTGAGGCTTGTATTACAGTTGTATTACAGTGTATTGTCTGCTTGTACTTCTTAAAGGCAACAGACTATGTGAAAGTTTTAAAGCAGTCTTTTAGTGCCACTTCAGAGCGGTCGCGTCTGTAACATTGTTTTTTCCTCATAAATGCGAACACGAAAACTAAAATAAAATGAATATTTTAAGTTCTATGGAGACTGGAGAGCCAACCCTTCCTCATCCGATTTGCGCAGTGTAATTAACAGAATTACAAAAAATCGATTTTGCCTCCTATTTTTTTGTCACGCATGAATGTGTGTCTTTTCCCTAATATTAAAAATAAAACATAGACTGATATTTGTCTAATGTCTGGAGTCCTTTAAGGAAGTAGCCTATATACGTTTCAATACATGTATTTTCTGAGAATTTTTATTTCAAGTTTTGACTGCAAATGTCATCATGTCCATAATGCTGGACTTCCCCAATTTTAAATAATTTATCCTCAACTAGTTTTGTGGTGTAGGTCTACGTATTTTATAATGTTAACTTCAAATAATACTAATAGCCTAATTTAAAGATAAGGCAGCATTGGATCTGGACGGTAAGGAGAATAACGCTGGAGTTGGAAGAGGTGTGTCGCGATTCTGTAGGTTCGTGGATCTGAGTCGTGTGGCGAATCGCGATTTCGGTTTCATATTGCATATCGTTACAGCCCAAAAGTTAAGTTCTACTTAGTTATTTTGGTGAAAGTAACTCAAAAGTAATACATGAGTAGTGTAACGCATTACAATTCTGGGACAGTAATATTGTAAGGTAATGAATTACTTTTAAATAACAGTAACAAGTAATACCTAATGTATTACAGTTTGGAAGTAACTTGCACAACACTGGTAAGGAGAATAACGCTGGGAGTTGGAAGAGGTGTGTCGCGATTCTGTAGGTTCGTGGATCTGAGTCGTGTGGAGAATCGCGATTTCGGTTTCATATTGCATATCGTTACAGCCCCAAAGTTAAGTTCTACTTAGTTAAGTTAAGGTGAAAGTAACTCAAAAGTAATACATGAGTAATGTAACGCATTACAATTCTGAGACAGTAATATTGTAAGGTAATGAATTACTTTTAAATAACAGTAACAAGTAATACCTAATGTATTACAGTTTGGAAGTAACTTGCACAACACTGCCAGTAAAGTGCATTATATGGAGAAAAATCCTGGAATGTTTTCATCAAAAACCTTCATTTCTTTTCGACTGAAGAAAGAAAGACAAGGACATCTTGGATGACATGGGGGTGAGTAAATTATCAGCAAAAGTTTAAAAAAAAAGTGAACTAGCCTACTGCTTTAATTTAATACATTGTTTGCTAACTGCGTGATTTGTATGTGTATTTCTGAAAAAAACATAACTTGACACAGTCACCTCTGATAAAAGATCACTCAAATTGTAATGTAAGCTAGACATGCATTTTCTGTAAAGCTGCATGCTTTGAACTGCATGCTTTGAAACGATATGAATTGTGAAGAGTTGTACAAATTGTTCCACATCCTTAAATGTTTAAAAACAATATTTTTAAAAACCAAGAAAAGATAAAGCACTTAAAAGAGTGGCATGTCTGATCTCAGACATTACTGTGGACAGTGTTATTCATGGGCTAGTCTTGTGCCTGAGTCCAACCCAGCCCTCTCTATTGAGTCCCCCCGCATGAGCTGATACATCTCATACAGATTCTCTGTGGACGCGTGACAGCAACCGCAGCAGCAGCGCGAGCACAGCACGTCACTCCAGACGACTTCAATACATCACAATCCGCGCAGCCAAGGAAACCCACCAAAACTTTACCCCCCAAATCCCAGGACCCTCGGGGTGGGGTAGAGCCGCAGAGAAGCAGCAGCGCAAACAAAAGCACTCCTCTTGGCTTTAAGATACCAGCTGCAAAAAAAAAAGTTCAGAAACAAACTCAAGACGACAAGCGGAACCGATCGGGGTCTCTCCACATTTCCATGCAAAACTTTTTCTGAAATCAGTGAACGCGGAGCGACGAGCATCAGACTGACGGACTGAAAATGGCAATCATTTGGACAATCATTGTATTTGGTGAGTTTACGTTCATTAACGTTAAGGGTGGTGTATGAGTATTAAACTTAAACATATAAATAATAATTAGCCAAATTAATAGAACGCGATATGTAGGCCCATTAACGGTTGATTATTCAAACACCTCTTTTGAATATAAACTGTTCGTTCTTTTAGAACGTATTTACAATTGTTTTAAATTCATTCAATGTTCTAATTCCCAATAACGTCATAGTGTCTGAAAAGTATAGTCAGTTTCCATTAGCAGCAAGAGAAGACTTCGAGTCCGACTTACAGTTCACACTAACTTTCATTAATAAGCCAAAAAAAACAACAACAACAACAACAGATTACTGTTTTTCAAATCGTAAAAAAAACAAAACAAAATCAATTTATGGTACGCTTTCTTACTTAGGCCTATACTCATCTAAATTACCATTGGAGAAAAAAAATACTGTTATAATGGAATTCTCATAAACATTTATATTTGAATGTGGATCGGCTACTAATCTGATAAACTGTTTATGACCTAAAGATGATGATGATGATGATGATGATCAAAAAACAACATTTTGCTGACAGGATGGCTGCTAATCTAAAAGGACCTGACCACATGTGTAGGGGGAGATTTGTTATCGTGGCAGAAAATTCTGCAAAGAGCTCTGGGAAGTGCAGCATCTGTGCCACTCAACATTTCTGTCAGCTGCTTTGCTGAAACGACTAACAGTGACACAATTACAGATGAAGTGTGTCTCTGACTCAAGAGGGATGTAAAGGAGGAGACTGTTATTCTTTAATTATCAGTGTGGTGCACCTGCCCGTCCACATCAGGCTGACGGTCTATAAAAGAAGGTCATGTTTTCTTTAGCTGACCTAAAAGCATCATAAGCATTTCTGAAAATACTCTGTCAGCCTTTTCTAAGAGGTTTAATTAATTGTTTGAAATTGTATTCTTGCAAGTTGTGCAAGAAGTGAGGATGTTGTAATCTCCGCTATTGTTGTTTTTTTTCCCCATGCAGAATATTTATATAAGGTTTCCTATTATTAATTTGAGTTTTGAGGCTTCCTTGTGTTTGCACAAGGTTTCCTCCATCCTCTACTGTAAAAAAAAAAAAAAAAAAAAAAACCTTAACATTTAAATCAACCAAACTAAACTGATTGTCCTTTGGCAATGCTTTGGTGTGGATGGGTCCCTGACCGGAAGTCTTACACAAGGCTTGGGAAAGTGCAGAACAATGGGTAGGAAAATGTTCTGTCAACATACCCATTCCCAGGGAAGGTGTGGCATTTATTTCCTCTCTCCTCTGTTCACTTCTTTCATGATCTCTCCCTCTCTCTCACTGCATCTCTTATCCGAACTTTTTCTGATAAACAACATGTCTGAGAAGATTATTCAAAGACTGATTTCTATAAAGCAAGAGTAGATTAGGAGGGTGAAATTTTAGTATGCTTTTTAGAGACCCCATGAAAAGCCTTGCATGGTTTTCATGTGTTGATGCCATAGTTGATGCATTTCCTTCTGAAACAGGAAGTTTGGGTGGGGCATAGTGAAGGGTGTGTCCCTTTTTAAATAGCCAATAACCATTCGTTTGCATTACAACCATGAACTAAAAAAAAAACACAGTTGAATAAAACTGAAATGTTTTTTTATTAATATAATACACTATCGTTCAAAGGTTTGGGGTCAGTAAGGTTTCTTTATGTTTTTGTCTCTTATGCTAACTGTGTAACAAATATTAATATTATCACAGAAGTGCTGGAATAAAAGTTGATTAGTATTGAGCAAATCACCTTTAGAAAGAAACATGGCGCTTCAAATTACGACTGTATCGATTACATTTATGAAATACATAACTTAGACAGTTACCTTTGATAACAGATCATTGTAATGTGGACTCATGCATTTTCTGTAAAGCTGCTTTGGAACGACGTGTATTGTAAAAAGTGCTGAACAAATGAATAAATGTGAATTGAATTGAAAAGAAATGAGTTAAAAAAAAAAAAAAAAAAAAAAACGTTGATTCAACCAGTAAAGAAACAAGTGAAGTCTGTATGAGTGAGTTATTGAATCATTCGTTCAAACTGATTTAAAAAAATAATAATAATAATAATTCAGATTATTTAAACATTTTAAATAGACTGCAGCAATTAACATTTTTTCAGAACCTTGAGTAAATTAAATGTTATTTTTAGGGCTGTCAAACGATTAATCGCATCCAAAATAAAAGTTTGTGTTTACATAATATATGTGGGTGCACTATAATTGTTTTATATATATAAATACACACGCATACTTGTATATATTTAAGAAATATTTTCATGTTGTATATAGATTTATATATAATTTATATTATATATAAATATAAATATTTTATATATAAATAAAACAAATTCCTAAATATATGCATGTGTGTGTATTTATATATATACAAAATAATTATACACAGTGCACCCACATATATTATGTAAACACAAACTTTTATTTTGGATACGATTAATTGTGATTAATCGTTTGACAGCCTAATTATTTTGTTTAATTACCTAATTATCGGGATTCTAAATTTATCAGAATCATGCAGCTCTTCCATGAGTGCAAGATGAGTCACAAGTTTACCCAAAATACATAGTATAGTGTATATGTATCAGCTAAATCTTTATTTTGACAGACTAGCATTGATGGGCCCGAAGTTCCCCGAACTATTAGCATCTATTCATTGACTAAAAGCCACAAAACTCCAATTTTGATTTCATGGGTTCTTAGTGTGGCACCACCAAGAAGTAGTGTAATTCCCTGCTTAACGTGGGAGTGTCGGAATGCTTAATAAGAGAACTGAGAGAGAGTGAGAGATACGCTTGTGTATCTTGAGATTGCAAAGATGGCCCCCCTCTGTCATTCTCCCCCTCCTTTTCTGATCTCCTTATTATGTATAACGTCTGCAACTGGCACCGCCACGGTCTTCAACTCCCTTCTCTAATCCAACCTCTCACCCGGCCTCCCCTTTCTACCCACAAATCCTTCATTTTATCACACGGATACTTTGCGCCTTATAGCAGCTAGTATTTCTTAGCAACAACAAAAAAGACACTCTCCAACAGATGAGCTCATATTTCACCTCATCATTATTGAGTGTTAGCAATTATTCAAAACCCCTTTATCCTTATATGGGGGGGCACTTCAGCTTTGATACCTCACACTTTGAGTATGCAGTCCTCAAAAACCTTGATACAGTTCTCATCATGACATCTGATAGTGTGCGTCACGAGGAATGCGTTTGAGTCAGGCACACAAATGTCCGCTAAACTTGTTCGGCCTCTGTCCAGCCCTCAGACTTCTTCTCTTTTTCTTCTGTCTGTCTTTCATTCATTGTGCACATTTTTATATTCACAGTCCCTCTCCTCACCTCAATAGAGGGGGTTAGTTGCCCACCAACCCCATCTTACCCCTCCCCCTCCTACTGGGCCTGTTAATTACCCCTGAATAGGACACCATCATTGGGAGAGGGGGCTTGGGGCCCAAGAAGGTCTTGCACAGCTTTTTTGTCCCGGGGGGCGTAGTATTCAGATCAATTAGTACAATTATACAATATAATACAACTGTATTAATCCCCAAGAGGCAATTTAGGAACAGTTTACAACTTTATTAATCCCAACTTGTTTTCACTAACTATCTAAGAAGCTGACTGTTAAACTAGTTACACAAATGTTATGTTTTTTGAAAGACATGCATGTTGCATTTAATTGATCAAAAATTCAGTCAAAGTAGTTTTATTGTGAAATATTATTACAATTTAACATATCTGTCTATATAATGTTTTTTAATTTTTTTCCTGTAATGGCAAAGTTGAATTTTAAGCAGTGACATGACCCTTCAGAAATCATTCTTAATTTGCTTATCAATGTGGAAACAGTTTATGCTGCTTAATATTTTTGTGGAAAAGTGATGCATTACCATTTAAAAGTTTGGGGTAAGTATTTTTTTTTTTTTAAAGAAATGTGTACTTTTGTTCAGCAAGGATGCTTTAAAATGCTGTTCTTTTGAGTTTTCTATTAAAAATATTAAAACAAAAATATTAAGTATAAGAAACGGTCATGATAATAATAAGAACTACCATTATAGTAATTGAGCACTAATAACATAATAGATAAGCACCAAATCAGTATATTAGAATGATTTCAGAAGGATCGTGTGACTTTAAAGACTGTAATATCCTCGCAGGAATAAATTAAAGTATATTAAAAAAGAGAAAACAGTTATTTAAAAATATAATAATATTTCACAATATTTTTTGTTTTACTGTATTTTCAATCAATTTGATCAGCCATGATAAGCAAGAGATCCCAGTCTTTAAGATGAGTGTGTGTGCTCCTGTTATCTGCTACCTCCAGAATCCCAGTGAGAGTGTGGGAGTCTGTAGGACTGATATGCCTCAGTTAGGGTTCAGCCATGAAATGTCTGCATCTTCTCTAAACAGTCTCTACATTGATAGTGTTAGGACCAGCAGCCCTGTCAGTGGGTAATATACAGACTGCAACTGACAGCAGGGTCAACGAGGGTCAACCCTAATGATGGAAACCTCGGGGTGATGAAGGATGATAAGAGGAAAAACACCAACCTCAAACTTTCCATTACTCAAATAAAGGCATTCAAGGAGTTTCATGGTAATTAATTGGGTTCTTAAAAACAAGAACCAATGGAATGCAGAGAAAGGGCTTAGTTCAACAGTTAGGTGGAGCTGGAGCTGTGTTTAGCAGTGGCCATATTTTTGGATATGCAAGGCTGCATGATAAGATGGTGATTAGACAGAGGGCTAAATGAAAGACAACACTGGTTCACCAACCAAAATAAACAGCCTCTCATCCCTACCCCCATCCTATCAGCAACCCCGTTTCTAGACTACAACAACCACTACTTATATGTTCCGACATTCCATTAGGTCAAGATTTACAAAATCTTCAACCTGGGGGGCCACTGAGTTCTGGTAAAAATCATTAGGAACTACACCAACACGGGAAATTAATAGTGTTAAATGTAGGAGTTTAAGTCACTTATTACAATAGTAAATAGCCGCCATGATGTCTGGAATCAGCCAATGATGTTTTGACAGAGATCTCTGCGAGTCATAGCTTTGAGTATGTGCATGAAGGGGACACGTGCGCGAGGGGGACGGGGGAGGTGGGTATGGAACGACCTTTTGATTGACGCATTTTCTATCCAATGATTCTAGGTGGTCTTGGAAATGATTGGCTGGAGTTTTTCGAGTCCTGCCCGTTCCACAGATGATTAAATTGCTTAATTGTCATTTCAGTGCTTCTAATTAAGTGGCTGTAAGTGGGTTAGGAATAGGATTGCAAGTGATTTTGAAAAAAATGGTCAAAAACAGAAAATCACATACCCCATCTTTAAATAATAAGCTTAATTACTACGTATAATAATGTGTTATGTGTGTGGTAATAAACACTGGATCAAGTAAGGTAGAAGTCTGTTGAATAGCAAATATGAACCTGAGAGCTGCAAGTTAAGGAAAAACTATTGTATTAAGTCTCAAGAGACTATGAAACAAATTTGGACACCATTGTTTTGGCATCTGTGGTTTCGCCCATAAGAGTAGGTGTGTTACTTCCTAAGTTATTGTATGGAGTGTCCTGTCAAGCTCGGTACAACAGAGATAAGTCCCATAACAATGTGACATCAAGACGTATTAACAATATGAGGTGCATAGACACTTAAAAAAAAAATGTAGGCACACAAAAAAAAACTTAAAATCAGAGCTTGACAGAATTCATTCAAACTTAGTAATGAAACATACTGTTTTTCGATGGCTGTCTGATACCCAAGGAAGAAAATTGCACAAATTAAATTATATTCAATGCCATTTTAAGAACACCGGAAAATCACTGCCAATAAAATTTTGGAAGTAAAATAATGTCAAATGTTTTGAAACAAGCATGTTGAATTGCACCAATTGAAAAAAAATGCATTGCGTTAATCATGCTTGCATTTTAATCCATTGTATTTTTAAAGGGCTGAAATTCAACATGGTTGAATATTTAAGCTGTGAATATTTCAATTAAAAACATTTCAAACACATTTTCATTATTAAACTTTCAATAATCCATATGCAATTCAACATGCTTTTTGTTTCAAAAATATTTGACATTATTTTACGTCCATACATTTCACTCTGAAGAACAAAATTTTAAAGGTAAAAACTACATCCACAAACAAAAATTATCCAGACTGTTTAAATAACTAATCTCAGCTCTTGATTCCTGGTTTAGAGTGTTTGTTTACAAACAGCAAAAATACTCCATAAATAGTAACAAAATTCAGTAGTTACTTTTGAGTCAATTGATAGAACACTAATAGTTTATTTAAATCATAGTTCCAGTGTGCCTTTACTCATCAGTATTGAAGCTAGTTGTTGGCATGCAAAGAAAGCAGCTTTCACTCTGTTCTATTTCAACATCCAAAAACGTTTAGAGTTTAGAGCACTGATGCTATGTATAATTCCCCATTATAGCAATTGCACAGAACCAATAAGCAATGCTGAGTTTGCAGAGCAGTATATATTCCTACACTTCTAATTTTTTTTTTTCCTGATAGGTCTCCTCCTGCATGACGTGCAATACGCCTCAACGGATTCCACTCTGACCCCCACTAATTCCATTCCATCCACCACTTCAAACCCCAGTTTAACCAGTTCACAGAATCCTCCTCCAACCTCATCATCAATCTCTACTGATTTCAACTCTACATCTGCCACGTCGAACCTTGCTACATTCAACACACCGATGCACACTCTAAACCCAACAAACCCTACTACACCAGTGTCCAACAGTCAGATCACCTCATCAAACCCTAGTGAAACCCCCTCACTAAGCACCACCTCACCGAACCCTACTATAACCATTTTACAGGATTCCACCTCACCCATTCCAACCAGTCACACTGACACATCTGTAACATCTTTGACTATTACAGACACGCCCCAGCAACCAAAAATGTCTGATTCACCCCAACAAGACACAACCCAAATCACAACAATTCAACCCACCACAACACACTCAAAAGTTACTTCTAAAGAATCCAGTACTCAAAACACACCATCACCTAGCCAAGATACCACCAGTTCAAATAAACCTGCAACCACCATCCATAAAGAAAGTGGAACTACCCCTGTCAACCAGAGAGACACATCAGCTGTCGCCACAAACCGTGAGTCACATTAATCACAATAGTACAGCCTTTATGACTGCACAACTTGAACAGCGCTTAAATATTTATAAATATTAATTCTGTCGTTTACTTACCCTCTTGTCCTTTCATAGTCGTTGGCTTTCTTTCTTCCATGGAACACAAAAGCATCACTTTTGAAGAATGTTCTTGCTGTTCTTTGTCTCTTTATGCTCCTGTTGGATTGGAAAGAGCATTAAGTCGTCTGTAATGAAGTCATTAAATATCAAATATGTGCTAGAAATAGCAGAAAAGCATAAAGATTTGTGATTCACAGTCTATGGGAAAGGGAAAAAGCACAAACTGTCAATTTTGCCAATAAAACTGATTTGCAGTGGGGTGAATAATTTCGATTACAACTGTAGTTATTCTGAATCATTTTCAGAAGCAGTGTGTTACAAAGTTACAAAACATACAAGTTTTTTAATCATGATGTGGTAATTTATGGCACTTCTTGGTCATCATATGCTTCTGTTGTATGGGAAAAAGCATTGAAACTTCAAAATATATTCTGCTGTGTTCCACAAAAACAAGTTGACATGAGGGCGAGTAAATGATGAGAATGTAGTTTTAGTTTGGACTAATAAAACTCATTTACTTTTCATGTCCACACCACAGCAGCACCAAGCTTTACAACGGCTGTTTCTGAAAGTGTTCAGACGACGAAAACACAAGCAACTTCTGCTCCGACCACATCAGTTGCTCCTGCGATTAGCACCTCAACTCCCGAAAATATCTCTCATGTAAAATACTAACATTTATGGTTTTGTTTTCTTTTTGTTTACATTCTTGACCCCTGATTGCTTATGATCGTGTTTCTATTTTTTTCCTCAGCAGCGTGCCTTTGATCATAGCAGCATCAGCAGCGAAAGTGTGGTGAGAGCACATTTCCATACTAAAATTCACTAACAATTCAATATTAAGACCCTTTATGAAAAAATACCACAAGGGAGTTGTTTGACCTGTAAACTCTGAAAACATTGTTAAATTATGGTAAAATGAATTACAGAACAATAAATGAAATGGAGCCAGATAACATTTCTTGGTCAAGAGCAGTGTGCAAATTGACTGACTACCCTTCAAAAAATCAACTTAGATTCTCCTTAAAAATGATCAAAACATGCATATTTGTTTTGTTTGCACAGGGGGACTTCATTCTTGAAACCTGTAAGATGAAGGGTGAGAAGATGACAGGAGATTGCTCGGTCACCTTTAAAGTGGAAGGCAATCAATTAATTGCAACAGTAAAAATAAACGGTGAGGGAAATGTTATGGTTTCCAAACATATTAGACCCTCATCTGGAGGAATCACTGGATACAGTGCTTGCCATATTATGATCAGTTATCTTTAATAACACAAGTACAGACAATTTCATTATAGCAATTCCCTTCCTTCTCCATTTACAGCCGACCAAATGATGCCGACAGAAAGCAACAAACCAGAAAAGGTGAGGCGATTAACAGACAACAATACTGTGACTCTCCCAAGATATTTGTTTATTCTCAAACACACCTTTTCTTGGCAGAAAGCAGAGGCTAGCAAGGAGACGGTACCAGACACGTTGATTGCCATCTTGGCTTCGAGTGGTGCTTTGGTGCTCATTTTGTGCTGCTTTGCTGCGTACTGCACTTATCATCGCAGATCCTACAGAAAGAACCAGGTAGTACTCAATTCCAAACACAAAAATGAGTCAGACGTACTTGTATTGTTTGGGTCAGCCTCTAGTTTCAATAAATACAGCTAATGGCCTTTTTGCACTACTTTAGCTCTGAACTCTGAAACAATGTTCTGAATGACTCGAGTCCTTTAAATGTCAAATTTTAAAGGGATAGTTCACTTTGAAATTAATTTTTGGTATGTTTCAGCTTACCTCAAGGGCATCCAAGATGTAGGTGTCTTTGTTTCCGCAGTTTGATATTTTTCATATAATGCAGGTCTATGGTCACCACCTCAAAGAGCATGCACAGAGAAGTCCAAATTAAACATGATTTAATGACTCGTAAATGTAAGTACACATTGATGGCCTAAGACACGAAATGAGCGGTTTGTGTGAGAAAACAAACAGTATTTATATCGTTTTTACAAAAATATAGTTTTTACATCGTTGGTTACAAGAGGTAAAAACTATATAAATACTGTTCGTTTTCTCACACAAACCGCTCGTTTCGTGTCTTCGAGTCATTAAATCATGTTTAATTTGGACTTCTCTGTGCATGCTCTTTGAAGTGGTGACCATAGACCTGCATTATATGACTTACAGACAAGAACGGTTTGACCTAAAAATATCAAAATTGAAAATACTGTGGAAACAGACACCTACTATACATCTTGGATGCCTTTAAGGCAAGCTAAAACATACCAAAAATTAATTTCAAAGTGAACTATCCCTTTAAAGTTACGCCCTGAATCCCAAAGAGTAACACTGTTTAACATCCCAACATATAATTTTACCTGGATAGCAACACCTGACGGAAGAGATGCAAACAGTGGAGAATGGTTATCATGACAATCCAACACTGGAGGTGATGGAGGTACAGCCGGAGATGCAAGAGAAGAAACTGGCATTGAACGGGGAGTTCAACGACAGCTGGATCGTCCCCATAGACAACCTGCTGAAAGAGGACATACCTGATGAAGAAGACACACACTTGTAAAGGCACCGGACGAAACCTGCTGCTCTCATAATGGTAGATTGTGAACAGACAGAATGTAGAAAAAGCAGAGATTGATGTAAAGACTTTCAAACAATGGTTTCATTTGGTTCCAGGATGGACATGCTGTAATGAAATAGTTAGATGTCAAGTACATGCTAGAAATAGCAGAAAACCTTTTGTGTGACTGTGTATGGGAAAGGGAAATGTCCTGTCAATGTGCCTTAACTTTTCTTTATCACTCTCATTTTAGCATGTTGCTTAGCTAAGTATCCAGTCCGTTTCAAATTTAAAACGGATTTGGTTCATCTTTTAATTTTTTTCCCACTGCAGTGCATTCTGGGACTGCCTTAGAATTTGTTCAAAATGTGGCAGTTTTATTGCCTTCGCATTAGAGGCGTGCCACATGATGCCTTAAAATGCCACCAAGTCATGTGCAAATTGCTCTTTTTTTTTTTTGTCTAGTGAATTATTCAGGATTCACAGAGTTTCTGATCAGTGGATGTCCATGATTTTTCCATGAATTTTCCAATAATGTGATTTGAAAAAAAATCAGCACTCTCAAATTATCTTTACATTACTTTTACATTAATTCAGTACAGTGGAAACCCTGTATTAATTCTTGAGTGGAATGTAATTGTTACGCTTGTATATAATGCTTATTTTTTTATGCTCCTTCTTTCGTTTTCTGTTTAGGGAAGATTAACACTCATAGGCACCAAATTACACTGTGACCAATGGATAACTCATCCTGGTAAATTAGACTATGGTTCAAGATAACTTTGGCATTATCTTCCCTCGGTTATTATCTTTCTGTGGTAATTGTGATAGTATGAAGGTTTGTGGTCTTGTTAACCTGAAACATTTGACTCTAAATCCAACTCAAATATTAAATATTCATATGCCACTGTCTTTAGTTTGAATTTTCAGTTTAGTACATTGATCACCTTTTTGTTTGGGGATGTTTTATTTAATTGTTTTGATGTTGATTTCACCAAAATATATATTTTTTTTTATTGTATTTGCATGCACAACGCCAATTTTCATTATAAAGGATTCACTGCTTCCTCGGTTTAGCTGATCTACTTCCACCAAAGTATTAAGTTTGAATTTATAGCTGTATTCTTTATTTGAAGTCAGTTTGCTACTATGTACAAACGACAGGGGTCTGATACACTGGAAGCCGCCTCTGTCAGAACGGACAGGGACGGCCATGATTTTTTTTAATAAACTAAAAAAATGTGATTTTGTGTTTTTTGTAAAGTGCAATATGGCAGATGATACACAATGCACAATGTTGATGCACTTCATCTCGAACAATAATAAAATGATATACACTACTGTTCAAAAGTTTGGGGTCAGAAAGATTTTTAAATTTTTGAAAAAGTCTATGTTCACCAAAGGTTCATTTAATTTATTTGAACGAAAATACATCAAAAACATTATTATTATTATGAAATATTACTTAAAAAAAAAAACGTATCTACTGTAATTTATTCCTGTGCATCTCCAGTCTTCAGTGTCACATGATCCTTGATGAGAAATCATTCAAGTACGTTGATTTGCAGCTCAAGAAATATTTCTCACCGTTATAGTCAACGTTTTGAGCCGCTTGGTATTTTTTTTGTTTGTTTTGTTTTTAGATAGAAAATAACAGCATTTATTTGAGGTTTAATTTGATTTTTGTCTAATTTTACTGCTTTTTAATACAACCTTGCTGAATAAAGGTATTACTTTCTTTCCAAAAAAAAAATACTTACTGACCCCACACTTTTGAACAGTATTGTAAATATATATTTAACAATGAAAAACAAATTAAAATTTTTGGGTTAAAAAAAAACAAAAACCTAAACGCTATGTTAAAGGAAGACCAAGATGATTTTTAGGAAAAATTGAACAAAATACAATCTTTATTTTTTATGTACATTACATACAATGCAGTTCTTTAATATGTTCTACACATTCATGAGAGCCACAGTGTAGTGCTGACATCTCAATGCGCCCTAGCTCAAGAGCAGAGTGACGCTCGCCGAGATGACGATTTCCTGGAGAGATGAAAAGAAGCGCAATTTCATCTCTGACACTGCAGAAATGTACACCGAAAGCAAGAAAATGTATTTGGCATCGAGTGCAACAAAAAGGTCTCCGGTTGTAAGTGTCGATCCTCTCGTGTATCTATGATTTCATTTTTTTTCCCCCTCTTTAAAAAAAAAATTAAAAAAAATCATAATTCTTCCCGGCACAAAAACAATACTAGCTACAAATTGCTTTCACACCAGACAAGAAACCAAAAGTGCTGAAAAACTAATTCACAAACGGGCCAATCACTGAGAAGTCAAACGTCCACACTCTGGTACGCCGTATGTGCATCTACACAGACGCCCGCCTCGCTTCACAGGGGTCAAACTACAGCTAATACTGAGTTCAGGGAATTGAGATATCCCACTTGGGAGGACACAATCAGCAGGGTGAAACAATGTGCTGTCCCATGGTTCTTTGAGCCTTTGGTTTCTGCGTGGGTGAAGCCAAAAGTACAGCAAATTTAAGAGCGATCCAATTACAGGATTATTTTTTTTGCTGGGCAAACACTTGCTCCTCGTGCACAGGGACACAAACAATTCTAAAACAACTGCTGTTAAACTAACACTGCACAAATGGAGACCAAGTTATCCAGACGCACGGCTGGAGACACATGGAACTATATGGAAGACTACTGTCCAACATACTTCAATCTGTTCAAGATTTCAAGCAATCCGGAAGCTCATACGGAATGAAGGGCACATACAAAAATCTCTATGACATCATAGAGGAAGACGGAACATAAGACATGACATTCAGGGCTCAAGTTCACCAAGAAATTATATTAATAATAAATAGTGAGGGGTCTCTTCTGTCTTCGGTGGTCCCAATAAGGCTCCTTTGTGTTGGTACCAGTCCGCTGAACAGTCTATGTAACACAGCAGTGTGAACTGGACTACATTGAGTTTGGACAAAAGCAGCCACAACCTTAAGTAAACAGCAATCTACACTTCAAAAATTCAATTCATCCATGTCTTCGGTTTGTCTAATTGCAGCAGTGTTTCGCAAATCCATTTGCAAACGGATACGAGTGTATAATAATCTGTAATAAAGTACAAGGTGTTGCCATACATGAATGTGCTACTAATATTTGCGTTCCTACACACATACAGAATGGAAAACACTTCTTGTGTACGTTACATCTCGGACATATCACTATATTCCTTGTATGAATTGTGGATGACAATTAATAGCTATGGAATATATTAAAGAGTCAAAGAAAGCACTAATGTCATGGCAAACTATAGCAGCAGCAGGTTTAGATGGAAGCCGGTATTCATATCCAGTACTGAATGGACAGTTCCTTCAGAATTCATCTGAATGTGTAATCAAATCAGAACTGACTCTAGAGGGCGCTCTGATCTTTGCCTAAGGCCGTCACTGGCTCAGCGCACGTTTGTCCATTAAAATGCGATTTAAAATAACAAGGCAGAAAGGAACCCATGATGATCACACAGTTCATAAATCAAATTCATCTCATTATAATGTAAACTGCTTAGATTTATAACTCACCTATGTTGCAAACTGTTTGAGAGAATATTTAAAAGATAAAACTGAAATAGAGCAAAAAAAAAAAAAAATCAAATCAGTTCGCAATTTGGCAGATATGCAAATTTAAACCTAATTCTGACACCTTTAAAAAAAAAAAAGAAAAAAGAACAACCCTGCCACTCCAGAGTAGAAAATTATATTTCTGTATATTAAATAAGTCTCAGTGACGTTTAGGTGGTATTACATCTGTAAGAGAAAACACAGTAGGTGGGCATGGCACACCTCGGGTGGAAAATGTAGAAAAATAACTTCTGTTTTTGGTGGGAGGAGTCTGAGAGGTCTATTGGGGGTGTGGTCTAATGTATGGGGCGTGGCTACAGGGTGATGAGGTCAACGAGGTTACCCTTGGGTGGGGTCATATTGTCAGGGAAGAAATTGACGAGTGTGTCAAACAACTGAGTGCGCTGGGCGTATGTCTGATCCACATCTGAAAAGCCTGTGATGAAGAAAAGAAAAAAGAAATATTAAGAATCAAAGCACTAATAAATATATTTGAGCAACTTGTAGTACATGACTGGGGGACAATCATGTTCATGAAATGAAACAAAGCGCTCACCTAGAGGAATGAAGTCTGAGCTAGATTTGAACAGAGCAGAGGGCAAGAGCTGGAACTACAGGAAAGAAACACAAAAAGCGCATTTATATAGGAAACACTCTCATTATGACAGTACAATTTTACTAACGACTAAAGCACTTACATGACAGCTTAATTTTAACTAAAAACACCTATTAAAATGCATGCAAGAGCACATACTTAATTAATCAATAGCAGAAGTTTATTGTTTGTTAATAACACGCTAAAGGTCAGTTCACACTAAAGACGATAACTATAAAGATAAAGATTTAGTTCAAAACATTTTCTAAATATAAAACATAGCAGTTTTCACACCACAACTATAACGGCACAGAGAAACAACCCCTTTCAGAAAAAAAATAATAATAATTTCCCAGCTGATGAACGATAAAATTCCAGGACACTCCTGTAAAAGAGATTTTAATCTGGTTAAATAAAGGTTATAATAAAAAACATTGTGAGCCAATCAGAATCCATCTTGCGGAGAGGCAAGTCACACCTGCAGAACACGCTTACAATACACAGAAAGATATCTTCCACTTGGACGCCAATATAGTTATCGGTGTGAACTGACATTTAAGCATTAAATGTAATCATTTTTTACAGCGGTCCTGACCTCTTTTGTCTCATCGGGGTCAGTGTGGTCCACGGTAAGAGACAAATCATTCTGTAGATATTTAAGTGCATTCAAGGGCTCGGTCTGAGCCTTCTCCTCAAACCTGCAAAAACACAAAAGGCAACAAGCCTATGTAAACATGACAACATGTTTAACAATGCCTTAGGAATTCTGAAACCTCAAACATGAAATAAATGAGAACAAAATTTCCCTAAGTAAGTACATTATTATTCTATTAACTAAGCAAATATGGCCACAAGAGGGCACTAAGAGAGCAGGAATCACATACACCGATGGAAAAATACCACTGTAACTTAATCACTAACTGCAGTGCTGCATGACACTGCAATTACATAACAATACAGCTTGGTCCTGATGGTTTACATTTAGATCACACAGAATAGAGCAGGATCAGAGCAAGTGCATATACGGTCTTAAAACAATTGACACAAACTGTTTAACATGGAACAGTTATCTAAACACTTTACTAGTGCTTATTTGGAGGTTTTCCTATTTGGAAACTTAGCATATCTGACAGTTTTCTTTGGCTTCAAACACAGAGAGAAACTAGAGAACAGACTACCAAAATATTATTCTACAGCACAATTTCTAACCAAGAACTGTGAGTTCGGAATAATGAATATCTCTTCAGAGCCAGGGTGAGGCATTTTGAAACACTCTTGAACTCAGATAAAAAGTATGTTTGTACCTGTATTTGCGGATGAGGTATTTGCAGTGTCGAAGCAGATATTCTTTGGAAGGGCGGCACAGCTTTAAGGACCAGAAATCATCCAATCGCATTTTAGGAGAGCTGGACTTCCCTGGGTTTCCACCGAAAAGATAATGCACCTGTGTACCATATCATCGTATCAAACCACTGCTCACTGCTTTGATTAATTAGCTATTAGTTTTTATCAGCAGTAGTAAATGTATATATTTGGTCTATAGTTTATATTATATAATTCACAAACTAATCATTTGAAAGCTGCTAATAATTTACAATCAGGCAGTGATTCACAATTATTACGAGTCTCTTTTGAAAAGTAAGGATACACAATTATGAATTATCAGTTAAAAACAGTTTGTTGTTAACAGTCTAAATTAAAGAGCTAGTAATTAATAAGCTTTTGAAAGCCTACAGAATACTAAATTACTATTGTAATATCCATATCATTTTTTATTTTATTTGTATTGTTAGATTATATTACAAAAATAATATAATTAATATAAAACAATATAATATAATAATAGAGAAAACATTTTGACAGCAGAAACATTTGAAAGAACATAAAACAGTGTTTGAAAAAAACACAAAATTTAACAAAAAACAAACAAAAAACAACCTAAAAACGATAGACCAATAAGACCAGGAATATTATTATTATTAAGTATTAAGAGAGTAGATAGGGTTATGTTGACTTCCTCCAGGCTAGCTGGGGTTGAAACCTACATTGTGTTATCAGGTCAGATCTTTAACCAGCTAATCCTAAACCACACCACCACAGTAACCATTAATGTAGATCATTTGGCTACCACACCCATGGTAAATATGAAATGAACATTACCTTGTGCAACTCGTCATAGACTAGCTGATGAGCAAAACGAGGACAAGGTTCTTCTTCCTGTAGGGCCTTAGTGGGGTTTTCTTTAACCGCCTGGTCATTCTTATAAACACACGACCTGCACACAAACACACAGATAGTCTTTCATACTAAACTGTGCATACTGTCCTAGCAAAGTGTACACAATTGCACCCACCCAAATCAAGTCAAATAAACAAAATGACATCACCGACAGACACATTTTTCAGATGCCGTAAGCAAACCTTTTTTTTTTTCCAATTATTGTACAGAACAAAGGTTTTGTCTCCCCCGTTTAAGTGCAAAGTACATTTAACACACATACACACACACACACACACGAGTTCAGCCCCACACACAAGCAGAGAACATTCTGTTCCTGCTTGATAGTCACCAACTCCCTTGCTTTAAGGTCAGTCTGGCCTTTGAAATTATATTTTCACTCTGGCTTTATTCAACACATGCGAGTGTGCATACAAGCTGAGAACAATTTTTATAAGCGGTCTTTGTATGATACTTTGACGGGCATTATTTATACGCTCATCATTCAGTGCTGCCTTTTTAATGCACTGCAAAGAGAAAATACAGATCAGGAAAGGAGAGAACATGTTCTCTCATCATTACTGATGATTTTCTTCCTTTGCAGAAGTGTATGGCATCTGAAGCGCCTGAAGTCACGTTGTGGATTACCAATGCAGGCAGTCCTCAGGGACACAGCGTACAAGCACATGTCTTGTCTACTCATTAGCATGCAATGTTGCACAGATGAAGAGCGTGTCCGAGAACTCACGCACCAGTTGTTGCGTGCAATGTCGTAGATCCAGAAGGAGTTGCGTACATTCTCCTCGCGTTTGTCTTTGTCTTTGCTGAGTCCTGACAAAACGTGGATCTCATTGAGCTCGGGGTCGATGGTGGCACGCTGAGTGAACCCGGTCATAGGTACTGCAACACAAACACACTTAAACTTAAAACATTAAGAGATGGTATAAAGAGGCTACAGTGTCACGATGACATAGCAGCTTGGTGTAATGGTTTGTAGATAACATGTAAATCACTGCTAATTTCTCTATGGTTTCAGCCAAACTCATCAAGTGGTACCATGTTATGCTTGTAAATTTCCACCAATGTTGAGCAAATAAAAAATATATTATTTTATTCTTAAATCAGTGATGAAGTTGCATTAATGAAATATTTAATGACAAGTATTAATGTTTAATAACATTTATTATGTCAATATGAAAGTATTAAGGAAAATATAATTTATCATTTTAATAATATAAACTATAAATAATACTGCATTTGTGTTTTGTGAGTGAATGAACCATTTTTTTTTTAATTTAATATGAATAAATAGAAAATATTTTTAATATATTTAGCATTTTTTCTCCATTAAAGTTAATATTCTATTTATGAAATATTAAGCATTAATAAAATGCAATATTATATTAACAAACAAGGAAATAACACATTTATGTTTACAAATAATATTAAATTAAATTGCACAGCTCCCTATAATACTTGATTCGGATTGACTAATACTAATCGTCCCATTTTGTGACAAATATGTGTGTATAATGTTTGCTAAAATGTGTATAACTCACAGATGCCCAACAGATTTTTTTAACAGTTAGTTTCACATCTCTTGTATCCACACAGCCTCTAATCTCAAGTTTCAAACCAAATCGATGTCATGCCCCATTATTTATTCACGAGTAATGATAATGTCACAGACCATTTTAATCTATGAATTGGCCTGTGATTCTAATTTATTCATTCTTTTTTTATATACCCAAAAGAAAACTTCACTCCTGTTTGGAACTACATGACACATGTTTTTTTGGGGGGGTGAACTACTCCTTTAAGCTGTGGTTGTGAGCGTTCTGTTCGGGCTCACTGTTTCCTTCCTGGTAAATTGTATTCTGTTCAGTCTTATTTTGGTCCCTCTCTGCAGCCTTTCTAGCTCGTTCTCTTTCTGTCACCCCCTGTCCTCGTCGCACACACATCTCTCTCTAACGCGATAACAGAGAGAACACAGAGATCTTTTTATACTCTCTCACTGCGTCAAGTTGCCCATTGAGATTTTACACAATCTGTTTATGGGAACAGGAAGTGTGTCACAGGCCTGTGTCTGCACAATCTCTCTCAGGCTTCACAGAGCTCTCACAGTCATCCACCTTCGGAGTCTCTCTTCTCTGTGAACTGGCTGTTCGGTTCGGCATTTCCCTCTGAGCTTGACACAATATCATGCAATAATTACTGATTATAGATAAAGTGAAAACATTTGAGGGACTTTATGTGGGTGTGCAGAATTTACGACCAGTCAACTCATCGAATTCTTCTGTGAAGAGACGTTTTACAATGTCTGCTTTGTTAGAAGAATTGATTGTGTGTGCAAGTGCGTAGCTGACGTCAATGCGTGTTAGGTAAGTTAATCACCGCAAGTGCAGAGGCGCATAAGTATTTTCTAAGAACTTACTCAGTTCTCCAGAAGTCAAAGTTCTGAGAACTTAATCAAATCGGTATTGTTAAATGTTGTTTTGTGCCAACAGAGGGCGGACGCTGAGAAGACATGCTTTCACGTATGTTTCTTATATATGAGCTTTTTTATTATTTATATACAATACAGTGTGTAATATTTTTAAAGAGCTTCAACGTTTATATTTTCGGTTAACATTTATCATTTCCGTTTAAGTTTTTCACGTAATATTTATTTTAATTTGTAATTTTTTTTTCTAGTTTTAGTTTCAACAATAACACTGCTGTGTTTCTGCACAAAAAGCTTCCTCAAATTCACCTTGAAGAGAGGGGTGCTGTTATATTAAGCCATTACTTAACATACAGAAAAGCCCTTATAATCAAGCAGGGAGCGTTCTGTGACCTTTTGCAGGGACCAGAATATCATAGAGACGTGGTTCAGTAAGCAACCACCTAACAACTATCCAAATTACTTGCCACTTAGAAACACACTAGTAACTACCTTGAAAACCCTAGGTTTGTGCCTGCAACCACTGATTTTTTCTAAAGTAACTAGTGTGCATCTAGGGCTGCAAATATCTGGTCTACTACAGAAGGCTTTAAATATTAAAATGTGTATTTTACGCAGACTCTTCAGAGGCGAAAATCTTGATGAGTGGCAGAACGTGTGTTCTTTGTAGAGCAGCATGTTCTCACTGCTCAGGAATTTGCTGCAACATTCACCAATCATCATGACAGTCCTCACAAGAAACGTTCATCACCATCATCCAGACCAGCAGATCTGTGTGTATCAGTATCAGGAAGACAAGATGATGTCAAGTTGATTTAGCTGTTTAACAGTAGGGCTGCAATAGATCACATGTTCGCTACCGATGAGTGTAGCAGGCCGCCGCAGTGACATAATCCCCACCTGATTCAACTCTATTTCTGAAAATGATGTCACCTTCATGCTCAAGATTCCTATACTCTCCTTATAAGGAGTTTCTTTACAGGGCACAGCTTTGTAAGAGTCATTCTTACAGTACGATAAAAAAAAATCTTATAAATCCCAGACAGTATTTTTTTTTTTTATATACAAATTTACAGTTTTCTAATGATGGTGCATTAGCAAACTGTATTGAGTGGGGTGGTGATGGCGCAGTGGATAAGACACTAGCCTTTGGTGTGAGAGACCCAGGTTCGAATCCACTGAGAAATATGTGTCCCTGAGCAAGACACTTAACCCATAGTTGCTCCAGCGTGCGACCTCTGATATATATAGCATTTGAAAGTCGCTTTGGATAAATGAACAAATGTAAATGTAATGACATCATACCCATGCCTGAGTCCTTCTTGGTGCCATCTGAGATGATCTCCACATGATCACCGTCAACGTCGTAACTGAAGAAATCATTCAAGTATGTTTTGGACCTCTGACCTCCAAAAACGTACAGGCAGCGATTTCTCTGTGGGAGAGAGAAACGAAACTGTCACATCAAAATTGACAAAAGCACCCATAAATTCTAAACATTTCTTTTAGGGAAATAAAACTAATATATATTAAAAATGAAATCAATCCAAAAATTTGAGGTCAACGTGTAAAATATCTTTATTGCAGCTCAGAGCACTTTATGAGTCGTTACTAAGGAGACGAACCGTGTGGAAAAGCATGCAGTGTCCGATGCGGGACTGGATGTCCTCTGGCCCTGCGTTACATGAGTCTTCTCTGAGCAGACTCCAGCTAGCAGCTTGACAGTGAAACGCGTAAAGCCCGCTGAACTGAGGTTCTGACGTCCTGCCATCATCCACGCTCCCGTTACACGTCAGAATCCGACCACCAAAAGTGTAGATCATGTGCTTCTCAGAGTCCATGCACATCTGAGAGAGAGAAAGACAGAAGCTTTGTTCAACTTTCTGAGAGATACGGAACTATTCATCATAGATCTGTAAAAGGGAGACTCCTGGTGGTCTGCGAGCATAAATCATTTAAAATGTGTACCTGGTGGTCAAACACAAGTTTGGGTCCTCCATCAGCGGACGTGTCCTCGCTCAGGAGGGTCCACGTGTTGGCATCAATGTCATAGCAGTAGAAGTCACTTTTCAGGGACTTGCTGTTTCTGACAGAGGAGTCCAAATAACGGCCCAGAGTATAGATCTGCCTCCGCTGAGAGTCGATGCACATCTTGTGGCACGAGCGCGCACTGGGTCCATTCTAAAAGAAATGCATCATAACTTTAAAGTTTTCACCCCTTACACCACACACTCAAACAACCTGGTCTATACCATGATGCCTATTGCACACAAAAAGGGAGTTCTTTCAAAATCGTACAATTGAATTGAAACCCTATTTCAAGCTTTTTATCTGTCCATAGGGGCTTTTGCACCAGAGGAACCTTTTCCTAGTTCCTAAAAACTATGGTGGAAGAACCTGCTTTTTGTGTACACACTGTATGAACTGGGAAAGATTTTAGTTCTAGGACTGCCTTCTGGACGTAAGTTCCAACTGGTGGTGTGAATGCTACCAGGAAAATGGTTCTAGGGAAACCTTTAGTTCTCAGGGGACTGCCCTGGTGGCTAGTTCCTATAACTACCAGGTGCGAAAGCCGCTCATCAGAGAATGAAGTTTTCACAAGGTACTAGGATACGATTATGGGCATTTCTGAGAAAGAACTAGTCACTGGATTATCCAAAATTAGTAGGGAAGCACGATGATATCAGGAAAACATCGGTATCCGCTGATAAAAGCTTAATGACCATCATCAGTAGATATGAAAATTACTGCCGATGAGCCTTGGCGATAGCGTGGCGTGTTTGCTATGTGCACGTGACGACCGTGAATGAACGAAGCATGAGCGACAGCAACTTAAACTTCGACCAGGGATGTGCGATAATCACGGTTTCTGATCGTGGACGATTAAAATGTCTCCACGATCTGCTTTTGAAGAAAAATCATTGTGCTTAAATATAATATGGAAGTCACTGGAGTACAGCAACTGTTTGGTTAACCACATTCTTCCAAATAACATTTATTTTCAAAAGAAGATAGAAATTTATTTGGGTTTAAAACAACATGAGAGAGTAAATTCTGAGAGAAAAACAGAGGACATTACTCACTGCTCTTTACTGAGCACTTTAAAAAAAGCTTTAATAAAAATTTTCTGCACTTAAAAAATACAAATACATCGGTCTCGGGCCAAATTAGTTTGAAATTATCGCAATCGAAAATTGGCCAAAACCCAATAACGTGCAGTCGAGCATCCCCAGAAATAAGTCCATGTTATCAAATCTTTGGGTCCTTGGTGGTTCTTGGTCACATAAGCCTCCATCACCATTGAGGCCATCAATCCACATATTTTTCATTAAATGATGATCCAGTGAAATACAGTCACATCATTCTTTTGCTCATCCACAAGCTATTCCAACTATGAGTCAAAAATACCCATCAAAGTAACCTACCGATGAACAAGCACGCATCCATCAACACACTTTGCACAGATAACACAGTATGTGAAACTTAAATGACATGAAACGTCAAGGGTATTTCTGTGCCATTCAGCAGCTGAGTCATAATTGAAAAAAAAAATCCTCTTTCACTTTCTCTCTTACCTCTTTCTCTGTATCCCTGGATATGCAGGCCCATTGATTCTCCTTTACACTGTATGCCCAAAAATCAGCCAAGTCCTGCGTTCCATCCCAGCCACCGAACAGATAAACTGTTTCTGTCAGACAAAGAGGCAAAGACAAATTAAAAACAAATACAAAGTGTCGGTGAGTTTCAATATGAAACTAAAGGATTAAAACTATTATGGTATTTTTTTTAAGCTGCTATAAATCCTAATATTCTTGAGAAGCAGCTGTGAGCTAAGGTTGAAAGGCTGATGTCGCCATGGTGATAAGCAGAGACAGTTGTTTGAGCTATTGAGCATCAGCTCAGCGGTAGAGCGGGTTACTTGAGGTCAGGCTGAACGCACAGGGCCATATGAGGGCTGTGGGATCGATTGTTCCTCTAACAACAAGCTCAAAGACTAACACGCACATTCAAAACAGCTCTTAACTCATTATTATGGGGTGAAATGCAGTCTTACCTGGCATTCCATTACAAGCAAGACAGGACAAGCTAAATAGCACTGCAATAACCAGCCAATCAGAAACTTTGCAAATAAACCACCTGACGTAAGATGTACCTGTCTGAACATCAATGACCATCTGATGACCTCCTCTCATGCCTGGCCTGTTATCATCACCATCACCTAATCCGAGAGAACGAGAAAGAACGAAAGTGAAACAAGTGTGTGTCGGGAACAAGACACAAAAAAAAAGCAAGAACATGGAAGATATTGAATATCAATACACCCCTTAAGTCATTTAATACAGCAGACATGGATTCCCTGGAGTCTAGCGTTCAGATTCGGAGCAAGAGGCCGTCACTTGTGTGTTCAGTAGCCTGCTGTCATACCTTTGTTACATTTGGGGATGATCTGACTCCAGCGGGGCTTATAATCCTGCTGGCTGATGTACTGATTAAACAAACCATCTGGAAAAGAACAAATAAAAAGCACTTTAATTTGCTAATGTAAGCTACCTGAAAGAGAAACAAGCGTTCATTAGGTTCTAATTACCGTAATTTAGACTTTGACCACTAAAAGAACGTGTAAAATGAAAAAGGCTACTGTGAATAAAAGATCTAAATTAAAGTGTGTCAAATATTTTCTTCTATCCCATCCTAATATGTTGATTCTTCCCAAAAATCTGTAAACACTTCTTTGTTCATTCTTGACTAGCCTGACAACAGCAACATTGGATCAACCAATGACTCGAACTTTAGGAGAGACTATTTGTTTTGTCTGTAGAGCGAATTTAATTCAATCATTTTCAGCAAAGCGTCTTGAAGTTTACTCAGCGGCTATATTTGCTACACCACAGGACTGCGATTTCAGACATACAAGAATTGTTTAGACCAACAACTAAACCTGACAAACTGTATCATGGACATCCATAGGCATAAAAGACTGATAATTGGCCTTTTTGGAAGGCAGGACTTCCTTTGCAAGAGACACCATTTGGTGCGTTGCACTTTCTCCCATTCAAAATAAAAACTGTGAACTGTTTCTGTGTAATATAATCTCTGCTTCAAGTCATTTACTGTCAATGAAAGTTGGCGATTTCTATCAAAATGAGTGACAGAGAGAATATAAAAGCAAGGTAACAAAAGACTCACAACCTCCAGTTAATTTAGATCCCTGTCAATGAGTACCAGACTTTCTTATTGGTAGCAAAAACCATTTTCAAAGCAAAATACTCAGCATTTATTCAGTTACTTAAAAGGTGCTCTGCGGACACACATTCTTCCGAATCATAGCCAGGTAAACTTTTATGTTGCACATTACTGACATATGACCACCACTGTTATGAGAAGTAAAGATCTAAACTGTGCTTGTGTGACACCACCCACAGGTTTCTGACAAAAAGCAGCAAGTTGGTCATTATGACTCATTGTGTTAATTACACTTGCATGTCATGTACGCATTTGGTAGACTTTATCCAAAGATTTCATACATTTGCTGGAAATCAAAACCCATCGATTGCCACTGCAAATATTAGTTAATAGGGGTGGGGAATTTTCGATCGTTAGATGCAGCATCGTGATGCGGACGTGGACGATTCTGTATCAATTCACAAATGTCAAAAATCGATTTTCGAAAAAATAAAATAATAATAATTTTTTTCTAATAACGTAATATTGACAAAACGTAAAAAAAGCGTAACTTTGAAGTGTAGTGCCCAGCCAGTCTGTGGTGTGTGCAATCTGCGCATAACAGAGATGCATGATGGCTGAGCGCAAAATCCGAACGACACCCTCTTCGTTCAAAGGGAAAATATGGAAAATTTGCATACTTTCATTGTGACCTTTTTTCTATTTTAGTATGAGAGCTCCTTTCAGTATTATTTTAAATATGCTGTAAACAGATCTGTTACACGTAGGTTTTCTGTACTGCCCTCCACAATCACAGTGTGTATTATAAAAACTTTGCTTTAAAAGTACAAAGGAGTCACACACAAAAAAAGATGCATCAATAATCGTTTTAGCATTGAATCGTGGGATGCCAAGAGATTCCCATCTCTATTAGTTAAGGTGGGAGTATGTGTAAAACAATACACTACAGTAAATAAATCACTATTCAAATAGTGAGAGTACGAGGAACTAAAGCTTTGGGTTAGCTAAATTGAATGTCACATTTCTTTGACATCAGAACTTCTGTAACAGTGAAAGTATGGCATATTAGAGATATAACTTAGTTAAAACCCTTATAACAGAACCTTTGAGTGCAGATTTTTTTTTGACTCTTTGATTTGGCTGGCCATATAACACGATTATAATCCAGAACAATTCTGTTCCCCTACAGTGAACCAACATGCCCACATTCCCTATTTAATGAATATGGCACGTATCCATATGATGAAACACTGGGTGGGGTACCTCTCACAGCTTTGTCTATGAGCTCCTCGCAGGCGTCAAAGTCTCCTCTGAGGACCAGCCGCTCGTGAAGGTGCGTGAGCATGGGGTGCTCCAGAGCGATCCGGGTTTTCTTCTGCAGAGACTCGAAGGCTTCTGTGTAATTGTGTTGCCGGAAGTGTTTCAGGCACAGGCGGATGGCCTCCTGTTCACGGTACTGTCCAGAAAAAAAGAAGAAGAAAAAACACTGTAACATGCCTTCAATCCATGTTTAATATTGTGTAAAACTTCCTGTGCAAATGGTGTGTTTTAAAACAAGAATGTTTCCCCTACTGGAACAACGCTGCGCTTTAAACAATAAACAGCCATAATGAATCAGGGAAGACAAAAACACACTTTGGAAGGATTGATGATGCATTGACTATTCAAATTTTGTTCATTTTGATTAAAAAAATGGGGTAAAATATGATCCTAACATTTCTTTGTGAGATTGACCCTGAAAGAGCAGGTGAATATCTCGACACCTCACCTTACTATACCAGTTAAGGCAGGGCTGGACAACGTCTGGTTCTTCAATGCCATGTAACTCAATATACCAGATGCTGAAGTTAAAACTGGGACCCCATGACATCAGAGGCACTGTACACAAGCAAACACATACAGACAGCATAAAGAGAAGACATTCAGGCATGTGATGACAAACTGCAGTTTACAGCAGGTACCTTGCTTCAAAAAAAATTTGATTTCAAATTTCCCACCCTCAATTTCTGTTTCAGACATTGAAATCTTTGTCAAAAGAGTACACACAAACACTTGTTTGTTCCATCTAAGATTTGCAGAGTCATTCAATCACTCATTGCCTTCCTCTAAAATTGTGCAATGACTAATCTTTCCCCTAAATGTGTCATCACAAGACTAGAGGTCACCATACTTAAGCTTGCTTTGGCGGTAAACGCTCACCTATTTTAATGAACCTGCAGGGAAACATCTGCTCATCAATCTTGTGCTTTAGCGTGAATGTCTCCTTGTTGAAGTCATTCTTAAGGCCACTAGGATTAGATGAGAAAGACAGTGAATGATCACATGAGATCACAAGAAGCCATTTCCCCACACGTTACTCACGTCTCAAGAGACACTATAGGCCATTTTATAAAATGTTTGCGATCTGATGCCCCATTATTACTAAATGAACTATATCTGGTCACCCACTAAAGATGTTCGAAAGGCTACGAGTCTGTAAAGCTTATCTGACATAAAGATTAGCCTGACAATTAACATTTTCCATCCGGACTCACCTAGACAAGAGTTCTGTCATGTTTTCTTCACTCATGCCTCCAAACACCTTGAATTTCTTCAGGTTGCACACATGAGTTTTTTCATATTTGCCATAGGTGATGCTAAGAACGATAGCTGGTCTCTCCAGTTTTAAGATCAAGTACTGAGTAGCAGAAAAATAAATTATTATATCAAAGCAATTCCAAACCAAAATGTTCTAGCTATAACAATCAATACTACCTGTAAACATAATAATTAAAAAATGTTACCTTTAACACAACAGCAAATCTAGACCTATTTCTAGCATCATACACACATCCGTGTGTTTTGAAATGAAAGACAAACTATCATACATAACCGTTTGGGGTCAGTAAGATTTTTTTAAAGAAATTCATACGTTTTATTCAACGAAGACACATTAGCGTGAGTATTAAGACATTTCTACTGTTACAAAATATTTCTATTTCAAATAAACACTGTTCTTTTGAACTTTCTATTCACTTAAAATTGTATCACATTTTCCACAATAATTAAGCAGCGCAATTGTTTTTATCATTGACAATAATAATAAGCATTTCTTGAGCAGCAAATCAGCATTTAAGAATGATTTCTGAACGATCATGTGACACTGTAGACTGGAGTAACAAGGCTGATGAAAATTCAGCCTTTTCACCACAGGAATAAATTACAATTAACAATTTGTAATATTACAATATTACAATTACACTTTCCATTTTGGGTGGAAAATTCTAGAAACAAATTGTTACACAGAAGAAATAACTGACTAACTACCAATACATTGCAGATGCTTACCTAATTTTCTTATAAATAAATGTCAAAAATCCTTTTTTTTTTTAATGAAATATTACAGTACTTATAAATTATTTATATGTGAACATTACTACATTCATATCATAATCATTAAATCAAAATACCATCCTCTCCCTGTTGCAGTGTCTTATTTCTCAGCCCGAGGGCGGGACAACCTGTCACTCACATGACATCACAGCAATAGTAAACCACTACAATCCAACCATCCAATCAATTCTCAATGGCCAAAATTAGGGATGCATGATATATCGGTATCGGCCGATATATGTTCATTTTTAACATTACTGTTATCGGCCCGATAAGAAAATTTGCCTGTTATATTAAAGCTGATAAATAATGAACTATTTTCTTCAGCTTCAGACACGCACTGTTCGCCAAGATAGTTTTGAATTTCTCTAAATATTATTTGGAATCACTTCAAGGAAGGAAAATACAGTTAAGTGAAACAATTTGTCAGAAAAAGTCTGTCATATTGGCTACATAAAATTAATGGTTTTGTAATCAGGCTCTCAAAAATTATATGAAAATTTGGATTTATAAATATCGGCCAACATATTGGTTTTCGGCTAATTATCGGTTATCGATATTGGGCAAAATTTTGATATCAGTGCATCCCTAGACAAAATAAAGTCCAACTCTACATATTTTCTTGTTTGAAAAGCCCTTTGGCTCAGTTATTGATGAATATGGCTCGCTTCTGTTGAAATTACAGAACAGAAGTTTTGTTCTTGTGTTTTTGTTTCTTGATGGCCAGGGACCACAAGTGCCAACACCCTCTTTAGATGCAGGTGAACAGGAGAGGCTCTATTACTCATGGTGCCCTCATGAAAACAATTCAATCAACTATAGACAATAGACAAACATGACAAAACACCCCACAATCACAGCTTGCAAAGTATTGCTCAGAACAAACAGACCTTGCATAGACCCTAAAACTGAGTGGGCTACTGTCATTGTAGATGGGAATAATATTTCACACATATTGACGGAGTTATTCTATCCACCAACACTGATGGTCAACTGAGCTCAGTAAAAACATTCAGAACATTTCACAGATGAAACATTGATTGAACTTTCTGCAGTGATTTACAACATGTAGAGTGGTCAAATGCAGCAGTATTTAAAAAAAAAAGGATAATGACAGGAACTGTAAGTTCTGACAGGGTGACTGTACTTTTTAAGCGAAAGGATGAGAGTGGAAGGACATAAAGAAAACACAAGCCTTTGCGGTTTAAAGTTGAGGGCACGTGCTACTGTACCGCCAACATGCACTTTCGATTTCCTTATTGCTTAACCACAAGTCTGTCGGCGCTGCATGGTCTGAGTAACAAGGCCAGCAAAGAGAGGAGGCCTCCTCTTTCCAAAAAAAAAGATGAAAGCAAGGCACAGTGTCAACGAATGAAAATTTCAACATAACCAGGCATTAAAAAAAATGAACAACTTTGAACACAGTGAGCAACATGTCTCTAAAGCTAAAGCCAATTCTCATTAAGGCAGAGACCTTTTAAAAATATATATTTTTTATTATTACTATTAATATTATTATCATACATTTAATATATTTTTATTATTTGTACTTTTGAATCTTAAAATTACTTTTAACTGTAGCTTTGAGTGTGGGAATGTCACTTTATAAATAAAAAATATTATTATTATTATTATTATTATTATTATTAAGAATTTCCATCATGTAATTGTCTCAAAACATCATGTAAATGTCTGCAGACTGCAGAGCATTCTCAAAACCTAAAACTTTGAAGAGAACAACTATTATCTAGCAAAGGTTAACACTGAAAAGGAGAAAGGAGGAGCAGAATTTACCTGTGGAGGGTAGTTGCTCTCAGATGACCACCTGGAAGACTGATCGTTAGGTTTATCCACTAATATATTTCTGCAAGCAAACATTCGAAAGCCGATGAATCAAACACCACATTAATTTTTGGAGTATGAATGCAAAATAATAGACCTGCCACTTTTTCCATGTAATGTGTTACTTTGTTGTTCACACAAGTGGGTCTTAACTGCGTGAATTATTTCAAATTTGTACACACAGGAGAACTTCTCACACACGTTCGAACATGAATTTGTTCTTAAAATCGTTCTGCTAGTGGATTTAGAGTATTATAAATGAGCGGCCGTGTGCACAAGGTTACTCATTTCCATAAAAAGGCCAAACAATCTTTCCTTACAGCCTTTATTAAAATTATTAAATTCCTCGTCAAACTTGCAGCTGTTTGCAGGGCACTCTCGCCGATCCTCGAGTAATGCCAAGTGTGCCATTCTCATCGTTTCTCACAATGAATACCTTTATACAGATCCAGATTACAGATAGGCCTATCTCATTGGCCAGCTGTATATGCATATATCTGCATTATTCAGAGAAACCTTGCAGCTGGAGCAATACTTTGTACTGTGTGTGGATGACCGTGTTCGTCCACCACCACTGAAGACCCTTTTTGACCCAGGAAAAACACTGCAAGTCCAACACAGTTCTGCTTGCTGGATAAAGTTCATAAAGCATACAAGCTTGAGATGAACAAAAACAAAATTGGTAAGGGTACACAGGTGTCACAACAAGATGCTCCACCACCACTGACTAAAGCAATGAACGCATGTTTATGTCAGCCTACAGCACATTTGCCTCCAGCTGTCACATTTAACACATAGATTATATAGAAGTGAGGTAAATTAGTAACATATGCTCTATTTCCCAATACAAAAATTGCATGCATATATTATATGTTAGACCGCAAAAAAACAACAAACTCATTGACTGTTTCAAACCCGCTATTCATAGACTGCTCGAAACTCTGCCTCAGCAAAAAAATAGCAGCATATTCGGAATCGGTAGTAAACCAGTTTGCCAGAAAAGTTTTTTTTTTTCATAATGTAGATTAACAGTAACAGAAGAAGATTAAAAGAGGGGATACAAATAGTCTGTGACCATCAGTGTCATATTCCCACAATTTGGCATTAGCCACCAAATAATTTTATGCAGTCTAACGTTAATTAAGATGCATTTCGACCTGATATTTTTAGGTAACATTAAAGAAAAATGAAACATTTAAAACTGCTTCCAGCGATTTGCGGTTTGTTTACTTCTGAAAACAGTTCACTAGTAACATTGAACAAAGTTAGCCATGTAGCTAACCGGCTACTACTGCAGTTCTGATTAATATTTTAAGGATAAATAACAAATAACGTAACTACGCAGAAAGATATCTGCCAGGTTCTTAAAAGAGCATCACAATCGGTATAAAGACATGTATAATAAAACACATTATCTGTCTTGAAGGCGTGTTTTTGCATCATATGAGCTGCTTCACACTAGCCTAGCCTAGCATGCTAAAATGACTGTCACTTCTGCACATTTACATACATTTAGAGCCCTTTCTGCACTTTTGCGCATCTAAATGCAAATTAATGTTTACGTTTAGAAAATCCGTTTGTTGTATTGTTTGCAGCTTATACATTTGCGGCTGTTATATTTAACTTATGTAGCACCCGTCTACTGTAGGCCAGCCCGTTTGTTAGATGGATTAAACAATGGATTTGATTACAATTACAGAGTTATGATCTGTGTTTGTATATTTAAGAGCATAATAGTCTTAACGGGAGTATTTAATTTGCGTTACTCACTCGGGTAAATATGTAGAGGAGTATGAGCTCCATTTATAAACACTGTAGGAGAGCACTCTGCTGTCAGGAGCCACCGCCATCTTGATGCACGAACGATACACACACACACACACAATCACACTCACATACATAGCTACCCATTCCCACTAACACACAACCAGAGGAGAAACACGGTATCAAGTCTAACAGTAGTAAAACATTGTGTGGTCCTAGGAAAGAGGGTAAAGGAATTTATTCATTTTAATCTGATAACATGGATAGTCTATTATTTATGCAATTTATTTGGTAAAGTTGTGCAATATAAAATACATTTAATTAATAAAAAAAGTCTCTTTTATTTGTAAATAAGAATAATGCCTATTTTGTAAAACTTCAAAGGAATCCCATTCCCAGTGGGCTTAAAATCTGCATGAAACAGAAGTTGCAACAGTAATTTCTTCCCTATTGTGATGTATGGCTTCTTGACAAGAATAAATTTGTAGGGTAGCCTATATACAGACTTGGGCTGCGTCCGAAATCGCATATTCTCTTGAGTAGTAACTTTTTTAAGGTATAGGCTAGTCCTACTTCACAACCACTTGCCTATGCAGTGTGTAATCAGGACATGCATGTTGTCATTATCATGACCAGTGTCAGTTGCTTTGCGTTGCTTCACTCAGAGCCGTTCACAAATCCTCTCCAGTGGCCTCATGGGATGTTCATCAGATGCAAACTTCAGATTCTCACCAGAAGTATAGGTCATCTGGGTATTTTTTGCCCACTCTTTTATGAGCAGTCTATTGTGAATTCGGACATGATTCTTTTGTCACATATAAGCCTACAGATTTTCACCGTAAGGAAGTCTATGCGATTTCGGATTCAGCCTTGATTTTATCCAATGGGAATTTATTGGATGGTTGGATCATTGTCATTCGCTACACTGATTGGTTGATTGATCTTTATTATTCCCATAGGAAATTTAAGGCATCCAGTAGCTTATACACAAGACAACACATCACACACTTAACTAGCAAATTAAAAACTTAACAATAATAATAACAGTCCTATATAACATTCAGAAATACCAAAAAAATACATAGCCTATATATACAAGTATGTTACAACTCTCATCATTGTAGAGTAGAGGGGAAGTAACTATGAATTTCAATCAGATTATGAGGGCACATGAAATTTGTTTAAAAACTTGGTATGTGCACATAAATCATTTATTATAAACATTTAAAAATATTCAAAAAAATAAATGAATTGTCAATTTTGAATTTGATGGTGAGTTTAAAAAAAATGCTAATTTAAGATTGTTAGCTATAGGAAAACTTTTCCATCTCCTCCCTCACCTATTTTCATAGGACACTAATACTTTAAATGAATCATCCAGCAATGGCTGAACTATTATTAATCACAACAAGGCTTTTTTTTTGCAGCTAAGCCTGAAAAGTATAGGCTATTCTTGACACAAGTAAATGAAGAGGCCACTCTCCAAGAGAACAGGCTAGCCTGCCCAAGGGGTGATCCCATCCTGTAGCCAAGCGAGGGATGAGGAGGCATAGGCACTTTGTTTGAGTGAACTGATCCTCTCTAATTCCATGCATAAAAAACTACAAATATGATTGTATCACTGTGGACGTGCCTGTCTTATCAGTGAGGCTAATTATTTGAGACTACTGAAGAACACAACGACCTTCAAGATAAATGCATTCTGCATACCTTTAGTTTATCATGGCACGCTGATGATGTCCTTTACCGGAAAAAAAGCTGATGTAAGGAATGAGAGATAATGTTATTTCAGCTAAGTGCACGGCCAGAACTTGGCAAGACCTCTTTTAATTTACCACAAATGGATGGGGACTGTTTGTGTGTTGTTGTTTATACATATATATATATATATCATTCAGAAATACCATACTTAGAAATACCATATTAACATTCAAATACCAGTGTTTTATATAATGATATATATATATATATATATATTATGTGTGTGTGTGTGTGTGTGTGTGTGTGTGTGTGTGTGTGTGTGTGTGTGTGTGTGTGTGTGTGTGTGTGTGTGTGTGTGTGTGTGTGTGAAGAGTTCAGATGCAAAAGCCTCTAAGTGCCATTGGAAATTTTCTTCTAAAATAATCATTTTTATCAAGCTTATATATTCAAGTTCAGTAATTTCACTTAAATGACAATTAATAGGTAATCCTCATTGCAATTTAAGTGAAATTACTGAACTTAAATATACAAGCTTGATAAAAATGATCATTCTAGAAGAAAATTTCAAATGGCACTTAGAGGCTTTTGCATCTGAACTCTTCATTTATATATATATATATATATATATATATATATATATACAGTATATATATATATATATATATATGAATAGTTCAGATATGTATGTCTGAACTTCATATATATATATATGTCACGGGACAACAAACCTCTTCATCATGAGTAAAATCCTTACAGATTAAAATAATGTAAGACCATGACATTTGAATAATAAAATAACTTGATGATGGCACAGAAATGTATATTGTTAGCCTAATTAATATATTAATATAATTTCTTACAGAAAATGTAGCATACAATAAATATTAAATTGAGAAACATTTCCCTTTACGATTTTATTAAATTAAATATTATTGCAAATAACAAAGTAGGCTGTTTTGTATATTTAATTTAATATTTAATAAATAAATAAAGATTAGGCTATTAATTCATGCAATTATGACTAGTACTTCATGGAAGCTGTTATTGATAAATGTTAAAATAACTTGTCACCCAGTCAACAAACATTTACTAACAACAGCTTGCCCCAAACTGAGTTGAATTATAAAAGAGAGTGTCCCATTCGGGACGGGCTGCTGCGAATACGATCCAGCATCAGTTCGGTAGGAGGTCCCTTTAAGTTTCCATTAAGGGAGGCAGATATGTCACATGATGGACATGATATAATGAAACGGCGAACAGAAAAGGCAAGTGTGTGTGTGTGTGTGTGTCCATGGCTACAAAATACGAATGTAAAGAAACGCAGACGTCCAGTAAACGCCCCGTTTTCAGAGTTGGAGCTCCTAGAGCTGCAGTATTTCAAACATCACCCAGTGATGGTTTCGTAGTGCGGACCGGACTGCACCTGCTGCCACACATATTAATACGCACTTTTATAGATGCAAGAAGACGCACGGCACGAGAGAAATTTGCGTTCACGTTAACTTATTTGCGCCTTCTTCATATGATGAATGCCACGTTTGCCGCAAACTCCAGGCTGCTGAAATGTGTGGATTGTTTGAAGAGCTCATAAAGTAAGTGTGTCTACATTAATTCCTTCGGCTAACGGAAACGTATGCTCAGGAAAAAGCAACGGGTCTCGTTGCTAAGAGGAGGTATTCTGTTGATGTGCCACTGCAACATTTAATGCTCTTAAACTCTCTACCATCCCTTGCCAACGTCCGCATTCCGGTCTCTGTTGCGCAGATTGAAATCCAAAGTTGTGGGTGAACTATTATTATTTTTTATCCGATATTTAATGCTGTATAGAATAACATTGCGCCCCCTGTAAGTGCGCAGTTGTCAGCAACCGAATATAACCTATCCGCGTACATACAGACGACTTCTGCCTTTAATTTGGACTGCAATCTAAATGCATTGAGGTAGGCTACCTTCGAAAAACGCGAGAGCGATCATTAGAAATCTATAGCAGTACAGCCTCGTGCACTTTCAGAAGTTGCGCTGTTATTTCAGGACCATCGTCATCATCATCATCATTACACAATAAAGCGGAACAGGCGCTTCGGCGATATGAAGCAAAACTTCGCAGGAAAAGGGAGCCGGCTCGAAGCCTCTCATGAACACGTAAGACTTTTGGGATTTTTAATTAATTTCAATGTTGTTAATATATTTACGTTTGTAGTCTATTTGTTATAGCTACGCCTATAGGAATTTACAGGTAATAGGATAGCCTCTTGTTTTGGCAATAACATGGGTTTGCTGCGTCACTATAAAGGAAAAATACACATTGTGTTGTGCTTCTGACATATAGCGTTAAAATAAGTATAAAACTAATTTATTTGATATTTGAAAACTACAAGTGAGCGAGGTGATAAACATATTTCAGAGTGTTCGGTCAGCGCGCAGGTCCAAAAGCTTGCGCTAGCTATTATTTTTTAGATAATTTTAACCACGACGAGCGAATATAAGCTACACTTTAAACAAACGACAGTGTGGATCAATAGCCTATTTGAAACTATTAGACCTCAGATATCCGACAGAGTATGTTAAGCTATTCATCCGCGACGCCACTACCTTGTTGAAGGAAAAACAACCCACTTGACAACAATCTGAGCGTGCGCGCTCACAACCAAGTCGAGAACTATGGTTGAGCCAGCCCGTCACCCGTGGGGTGCGTCGAACCGAGTTGCGCTGCAAACGTGCGTGAAATATGTCTTGAATTCGGATTCGCATACTAACTGTGAATACTTGTACTACCTTAGTATGCTTTATGCTAGTAGCAGGTCACTAAGCAACCACGCAGGTAAAGGGCGAGGAGGATTAATGTTGACAAGTGACGGTTCCGCAAATTATGATCACTCATCTCAAATTCGGTAATGTACTATAAATAATGGGCCATATATATATATATATATAGGCCTATTATAATATATTAATATAATATTTTGACCATAGCTTGACTGTATGTAGCCGAAGGCTTATTACTTAATTAACTTTGGCGATTTATTATTAAGGATTAACGTTACTAACTTAAAAAAAAACATTTTGCTATTAAGTAAGCTACAGTCAAATGGGATGTTTAAGTAATTTCAACTTAAATTAGATTAAACTGACTTGTACCTCTGGTTTATCTTAATGTCACTTAATTAGTTGGCACAGGATACATTTTGAAATCTACCATCTTTGATTATGGACACTCCTTTTGCTGCCAATCACCTGAGCTGAAAAAGCCGTGTGACTAACGACTCTTGTGGAAAATTATGTAATGACAAAGCTGACTGGCTGATGACAGCACAATACACACGCATTGTCCCAGTGACCATCCAAAGGGACCCGCCAAAAAGGAAACAGTCACAGTTAAACATCTACTGTACTTAAATAAAATATTTGCTATTTAAATATGCAAAAGCTCCCCCCACCTCCCAGAATATACATATTTTTTAATTGCAAATAACAATATTATAAAAATAACTTTTATCATTTTATTTGTGAATATATTTATTTTTTTTAAATAAAGTTAAAATAATTTGAATCAAAATAACCACAAAATTATCAAATATGATTCCATATAACAACAAGTGCTGGAACCATCATCTGACATGTTTACCTCTGCCAGATTTACCTCTGGTGGCATACAATGAACATTGATGGCAAACCTCCTTAGTTGCATTACCTGTTGTGTGAAATACTATACAGGCTTTTTTCAGCTTGTTGTTGAAAATGCATATTTGTTTGGCCATTTTCTAACTTGAGAAGGTACTTGTACAGACAGGAAGGTGATCAGTAGCAGGTGTGAGGAGATATTGTTATGGTAACCATGCATTTCAAACTGATTCGCTGAAAGCGTGTATGAAAGCATTGGCATATCATCTTGCATTGGCTTTTCTTTTCTGTAGTGTCATCCAAATTGGGGACAGGCCTACTTAAAGGGTTGGTTCAACCAAAAAATGAAAATTACATCATTATTTACTCACCCCCATGTAGTCAAACCCGTAAGACTTTCGGTTTTTGGAACACAATTGAAGATATTTTTAATGAAATCAGAGAGATTTCTGTCCCTCCATTGGCAGCAATGCAACTACCGAATTTTACACTTCAAAGGGTCCATAAAGAGATTGTAAAACAAATCCATATAAATCGGGTAGTTTTTTAATTAAAATATTCTGAAGAGACTTGATCACTTTATATGATGAACAGATTTGTAGGCTTTGTAGGCATCAGCGAACATAAACAGAAGCTCAACCATACTTGCTGTGAAGCACGAGAACAAACCTCATTGGTTCTTACTGAAGCTCAAACGCGCTGTGTTACATGAGAATGAACCTAATTGTTTCTTGCGGAAGCTCAAATGCAACACAAGGACGTACCTTATAAAGTGATGAAAACAATAGTGACTTCATTCCGAAGATTTACCCTTCAAGTCAATGAGAGTTACAGCTGAAACAAGAACATATTTACTTTGCCTGGTGGTCACCTTAGATTTAAGTGATCTCAAACAACACAAATGTTTGTTAATGCTGTAAAGATGAGGGGACAAGTTCCCAATGTACTTTTAAAAAAGATCACATCTATAGTTACCACTGAAACCTTAAATAGCAGAGTAAGCCTGACGGCTGGCTCCGTTCCAACTTAGGCTGGCTTGGAAACTTGTTGGCTGTGTGCCTTGAATTACAAGTCACTTGAGTGATAAGTGACAAAATTTTAGGGCTTTCCTGATTGTTTTGTACTTTGTAAAACATTCCCCGAAAAGGATGGTATTTATGAGACTGGCTTGTCTTTGTGAATGGGAAAAACCGACTTGAGGTCATGCTGTTCTGGGGAGAGTTAAGTGGATCAGTGTGCTGTAAGGAGTTATTTCCACTCTGGGGTGAATTAACAAGGCACATTTACTCACCACTGCATGGAGGAAAACAATAAGATTAACATTGCAGTGAAATTGAACCAGGAGCTGCTGACGCATGGGTGAGGTTTGGTGTGGATGTTTGTGTATGCACATTAATGCGTGTTCCCGCTCTGCGAAAACAAACAGACATCATGAAGTGCGTCATCAGCTATGATGTATCAGGCTTATTGATAGAAATGCAAATCACAAGAGAACCTTCTCTAGAAGTTAAATTTGGTCTAATTAAATTTTAATAATTAAACGAAAATGTTTCTATTACCTTACACACCTCATCCAAATGTGTTGGTGAAACTTCCAAGCAAAACCCTCATGCAGTTTCAGCTCAGATAAAATCATTTTTAAGCCCAGACAGCCTGACGTTCAACAGCTTCCTCTTTTGATGAGTCAACTATGGCACACCAGCTAATGCAAACATTTTACTGGAAACCCAAGATTAGCCTAAATGTACGCTTCTAGAGAACAGCTCAGAAACAACAGCATGTGTGTTTCATTTCCTGATAAAAATATGGCACTATTTAAATGCACGCTCACGTGTGTTTCTCCAAAGTGTTGATGTTTGTTTTATTTCAGGCATCTGCGTATGTCAGGTTGTTACAGTTTAAATTAGCATGCAGCGATGATGTTAAAAGGTGTTCGAGTACCTACGTGATTAGGGGTTTGTTTTAGTTCATATGAGTGTGTGTGATTCATGCTCAGCTGTGAAACCTGCGTTTCCGCTGTGGGGTGTGCGTGTGTGGTCATGATGTACTGCTCCCATGTGACTGCGTGTGTTTACATCCGACGGTGGACGGGAGGGGAAGTGAGCGATGACGCAGGAGCAGCAGTACAGAAGCAGCTCGCCGCCATTACCCTGAGCAAAAAAAAAAGAGGACAGAATGAGTGAAGAACAGGAGACTAACAAGACTTCAGAGAGGATATATGGTAGTAGAGTTGAAGAGGAAGCAAGAGAAGTGAAAAATATGGGACAGCAGAGAACCTCTGCGTTCTGACTGAGTGTCCCTTCAGAGTGTTCACTGCTCCCTATTCCCTGAGTATGGGATATCTGTTGAAGCGCACTTCACTTGTATTGACAAAATGCATTCATTTAGAACACACAGCAATGTCATCGTTCCAAATCTGTAAGATATTTTAGTGAAATCTGTAGGGCTGTCAAACGATTAATCGCGATTAATCACATCCAAAATAAAAGTTTGTGTTTACATAATATATGTGGGTGCACTGTGTATAATTATATATATATATATATATATATATACACACACACATGCATATTTAAGAAAAAAATATTATTTATATATAACATTTATATTTATATATAATAAAAAATATATATGTAAATCTATATACATACATGAAAACATTTCTTAAATATATACAAGCATGTGTGTGTATTTATATATATAATAATTATTATACACAGTGCACCCACATATATTATGTAAACACAAACTTTTATTTTGGATTTTGGATGCGATTAATCGCGATTAATCGTTAGACAGCCCTAGAATTCTGAGAGATTTCTGTCCTACAACTACTGCAAAAAGTTCATAAAGACATTGTAAAATAATTCTGAAGTGACACCATCACTTTATATGATGAACAGATTTAATTTAGGCTTTTGTTCACATAACATTCATCAACACACATGGTATAGCTCAAGCAAGAATCAATGAGGTTTAGTGCTTGACGCGTAAAGTGCTAGTTGTGTGGACTGTAAATAGTAGGTCAGAAATCTGATCGTTCCCTTCAGATTGGAATCTTATACTTAAGATGGCAGAATACCCTATCTAGTCTACTTCGTATCGTAGGGCACGTTTGGTCAAATGGAAAGCGAATTTGGTCGAATAGTTGCCATCAAAAAGTAGGATTGTACACCCCTAACATTAGGATACACTGAGAACTTGGTCTTCAGGCTCCTTGAAAGTGGGCGCTGGAGGTGCATCAGGAGAAGGGTAGTCTTTCAGAATCCACTTTTCACAATCAAATAATTTCCAATGAATAGCAAAAAAGCTGTTTTACTTGGAAAATACATTACACAGTGAAAATAAAACTTGTTTTGAAGGCCGATTCATTTTGACTTTGAAGTTCATCTCTAGCTTGTAGCTCTCAAACTTGATCACCCAGTAGCCAACATATCATTCTCTTTCATCATTCCTTGCTGGTTTCAAGCATGCTAAGCCGTTCTTGTAACCCACAGCCATTTATGAATTTCAAAGCACTA